AAGGCACTTGGCAATTAGTTGGACGAAATCTGGAAGACTTAGAATATGTAGTGACAGCTTCATTCTCTCTAACTTGATTAAAATTTGATCTGTTTTCCTGATAAAGTTTCAGAAATTAAAAAAAAAAAAAAGAACATAAATAAATAGGCTGCTGAGGAGAGTAGGAGACTAAAGGATATATTAAAAGTTACAGATCCAGATCATCCATATTGGCAGACATTGGAGGTTTTAGAAATAAGTTCAGATCAGATCCCACCACGCTGTGTGGTTCAAGCACTAATGATCCAAAAAAAAAAGGCACTAATGCACGAGAAAGGAAGTGAAATATGGTTTCAAAGCAGGCACATAAGCAAGCAATACTTTGATTTTCTTATTAAGGAGATGTTTGGATTAGTGGTTCAAAAGTAAAAATGGCAGACAGCCAATATCCAACAGCTGATAGTTATTGTTATTTATAATCCAGATATTCTTATTCCTTCAATTAGTTCAAACAGCTAACTGCTAACCTCAAACCTGTACCAAACACCCCCCAAAACTGTTACATGGGAAAAAACCACACAGGTGAATTTAAGGGAAACTTGTGGAAACTCCATTTATCATCAATTGGTTTTATGGTGGATGTTTAAATGTTATCAGATGATAGGCCCACCAGTGTTGTGTGTGCAACCCAAGGGAGGTTATTGTAAGCCTGGTTAGTGTGCAACATAAGGGAGGCTGTTGGCTTGTTGCAAGCCCAGCCCATGTGTGCAACCCAAGAGAGTTGCTGCAAGTTTGGGACCCAGAAGAAGGCTGTGGTTATGAGTCATGACAGTGCAGTGGACTACACAAGGAGTGGTGTTAAATGGAAACATCCCGCATCTGCGAATTACAGAAACCTGTGGATTTAAATACAATATAGGCTAATCTGAAAACAGCTATATGTCTCAATAGGAAGGACTACTCTATTAGCAAGTACTGGGATGGTTCAGGATAAAGAAGAGAACCAGACTTGAACAGTCACAAGATGTAAAGCCCAGAGACCCCGGACAGCCAGACCAAGAAAAAGGGAGATGTGACATACACCAGGTGTGAAGCAAGGAAGAAAGTTCACATTCCTAAACAGGATATGGCTCTGTTCTGTAAGGATTGTAGAGAGTTAGAGGCCTAGAGCCAATGAAAATTCCTTGCAGGTGCTATATCACTAGCTATCTATCTGCATGCTCCAATATGTACTTTAGAAATAGGAGGTAAAAGAGAATTGTATGATATACTATATATAACTCTCCATAAATACTAGGTATACAATAATATCTTTCAACCATGAATTCTAATGACTGACAATACCTGAAACCAAAATAGAAGTCCATAAAATTAGATTTTACTAGCTGATGTTTTGCACACAAAATAGAAAAGTAGAGGAAAAATGAAACATAATGAACACATGTCCTTGTACCTAAACCAGTTCATTACGTGAAATAGTAACCAAATTATGTTTTTCAAGGGGCCAACACATCACTTTTCACAACTACACTCTCTAGATATCAGTCAGCTGGCAGTTTATATTGAGCAGTCCAATATCTAAACCATTTGGGATAGGAAAATCTTACCTTTACTTCCAGATAGTGGACAAAAACAATGCTTGAGAGTTCACTGCAAAAGTTGTCATTTATGTCAGAAAAGGAAGACAGAGACTGAAAACAACCTGAAACTAGCAATTGCTAGGTTAAGAAACTGCCGCCCAATACTTTGAATACTATGAAATCCAATTTCTGGAAACAACTGAGAATCCCTATCAGAATATAAGCACTCTGTTCAGTTTATGCTTTAGTGATCAAACACTTGTGAGTTACCAAAATTTGACTCCATTTGACAGAAGGTATATAGAAGTTCAGGACAGAAAAAGAATTCTGTTACAGGATTCTAAATTTCGAACAAATCTGACAGTAAAGTCTTAGGATTTGCAATAAATAAACCAACATTAAAAAATGATCAAAATCAAGATTTATCATCTGAGAGGAATTAACAATCATTGTTAAGGAATAAACCATAGAATTATATCTATATTTATGCTTGTGCATTATCTAAGTTAGCATGGAATGGGGTGGGATGAGGTACTTCCTAAGCCAACTACAATATGGGGAGGTAAAAGAATTGATGGCTAGTCATATGATTGCTAACAAAAGAAAGGAAATGCTTATTTATGTAGCAGCATATAAAAGGTTCCCACTAAGCCAGGGCCCATGGACATTGAGTATTGTCTTACCTACAAAAGAAATTGTTTTGTATAAATTCTACACAAGGTATGCAAATGACTACTAAGAAAAAGGGAATTAAACTTCGCAGACTCACTCTTCAAGCATCCAATAAACGCGTCGTTGAAAATTTTCATTTCCCTCTCCATGGGCATAGTAGCATTTCAGAACATCAACACCTCCAACCTGAAAGGTTTTAAGCTTGTTAAATATATTACATGGAAAGCGGAAGAATTCATAAAAATTGAGCTTCCCAACCAGAATTCATTATGATAACCAAAGAATGAAGTTCCAGCAAATAGGCATCACTTAATTGTGTGTCAATCAATTGCAGAGACGTGTTTTCCTTTGTTAGAATAGGAAACTAAATGCAGCATCTTTGGTCCTTACCTTCAGCCTCTCGTGACATTCCTTAACTGTCTTTCCATCTTTTTTCTTTCTCCAATTATGTCCATCCTTTCTAAGGTGTGGCACCACCTTCCGATCAAAAAGAAAAAGGGAACCACCTGAAAAAGTGAAACTTGTATAACACCAAGTTGTGATTGGAAGCACACGTTTAACATTTATGCACACACATGTCCGCAAGTGTCTTTTCAAATTCAGGGTGATATTCCTGTCTTCATTTGCATGAAGTCAAAAGTTAGGGTCCTGAACCATTTATGGAATTAAGGACTAATCTGTAAGAATTATTAATTTTGGGTTGCATTTCATTTTAGGAATCAGATTAGTGGAGTCTAGGTGTCTATTAACCTGTTAATGTAATAACAGGTGTCCTAAGATGAAGTTTGGCTAACTAGGAAGCATTTAAAACCCACTTAACTTGTCTGAGGGAGTATATCAGTTTCTGGCAACTAACTTAGCAATTTTCTATATTTTCTTGTTAGATGGGCTGAAAGGGTAGGAGAAAGAAACTGCAGATATGCATAAAACAGACTTGGAGATTCTTAAGTTAGGAATTATACTTACTAGGCTGTGAGCTCATGGTGCTTCTTCCACCATTTTAGATAATACCAGTGAAGTGTAGCAGCTGATCATAGTCTTTTTGGTGGATGTCCTATGCTTCTAAGTAGTCAATAAGGCAAATCTGTTTCTACCCAAAACTTTACTTTGGCCCTGTGATCTTTCAATTTATTTTGTACTAACTCTTGAACCTAGTATATGTATGTAAACAAAAACTGTCTTTTGTTCTTGAAAACAGTTTCTTCTTCCTTATGCATTAAATAAAGAATTATCTCAAATTCCTTGTTTCTTTGTCCTGCACACACTAAATTTCTTTCAGGTAACTGACAAATTCTATACCCATTAACACATCAAGCTTTCTTTTCTACACTAGCTTTTCTCTATTAGTTATGATGACTTTATCCTTAAAATGTCTCAACCTTCAAATCTTCTTTCTAAATGAGAGCACCCAAATTGATATTTTGAGCAAGCCACTCCTTTACCTGATAAGCCATGGGATTTATCAAGGGAGGGATGTTACATTCAGAATATTATTTGAGAAGATAATAATCGAAATACAGAAAGAATTATGAAAAGACCCACAGACACTGATGTTTTTGTTATCTGTTATCCAT